GCACTTCCATAAATAGAAGGGTAAATGGATGGAGAGACTAATTATCAACCCCCATCTTGGCATGACTACCGAAAGAAGGATAAGAATTAATAATATTGAAACATCCAAGGGACACTAACCCAAGACGATCTTTCTTTTGGGATCATTGTCACTAGTATATACCAAGGCCACCTACCTTGATAGATAAGATAGATAAAGAAATAAATAATGGAAAACATATATCAGACAATCAGAGGTAGAACTAAATCACCAAGGACCCTAGAATCAAATTCCAAAGACCCCCTATCGGCTGCATATATTGATACATATATATATATATACATTTAATATGTTTTATATTTTATCAAAGTACCCAACCCAAAAAAAACTATTTGAACTACGATCGAATGGTGATCGTTTGTTCTGACTGGCACTTCCACGAATAGAAGGGTAAATGGATGGAGACACTAATTATCAATTCCCATCTTGGCATGATTACCGAATGGCGGATAAGAATTAACAATATATTGAAGCATCCAAGGGACACTAGCCCAAGACAATCTTTCCTTTGGGATCATTTTCATTAGTATATACCAAGGCCACCTACCTTGATAGATAAGATAGATAAAGAAATAAATAATGGAAAACATATATCACACAATCAGAGGTAGAACTAAATCACCAAGGACCCTAGAATCAAATTCCAAAGACCCCCTATCGGCTGCATATATTGATACATATATATATATATACATTTAATATGTTTAATATTTTATCAAAGTACCCAACCCCCAAAAAAAAACCTATTTGAACTACGATCGAATGGTGATCGTTTGTTCTGACTGGCACTTCCACGAATAGAAGGGTAAATGGATGGAGACACTAATTATCAATCCCCATCTTGGCATGATTACCGAATGGCGGATAAGAAGTAACAATATATTGAAACATCCAAGGGACACTAGCCCAAGACGATCTTTCCTTTGGGATCATTGTCACTAGTATATACCAAGGCCACCTACCTTGATAGATAAGATAGATAAAGAAATAAATAATGGAAAACATATATCACACAATCAGAGGTAGAACTAAATCACCAAGGACCCTAGAATCCATTTCCAAAGACCCCCTATCAGCTGCAAAACCTTTTGCACTCGCGCCATCCACAACCGTCCGCGCACTTCTCCGCGCCCATTCCCCGTCCGCAGCCGTCCGCGCAGCCAAGCTCGCTCATCACCAGCGGCTTCTTCTCCCCACCCATTTCCAGCCACTCCCTTGCACCCAGGCCGTCCGCAGCCGTCCGCTCCATTCCTTTCCCTTCCTTTCCCATCCTTTCCCATCTTTTCCCTTCCTTTCCCTTCCTTTCCCATCCTTTCCCATCTTTTCCCTTCCTTTCCCTTCCTTTCCCTTCCTGTCCCTTCCTTTCCCTTCCTGTCCCTTCCTTTCCCTTCCTTTCCCTTCCTTTCCCTTCCTTTCCCTTCCTTTCCCTTCCCTTCCTTTCCTTTCCTTTCCTTTCCCTTCCTTTCCTTTCCTTTCCTTTCCCTTGCACCCACGCCGTCCGCACACCACCATTCGAGCCAGGTCGCTCCCCCACGCGGTTAAACAACTAAACGAGAACCCAAGCATCGAAGATGCTTTTGGGAAAAAAGAGAAGAGAAAAGAAGAGAAGACAAGAGAATAGAATAGAATAGAATAGAAGAGAAGAGAAGAGAAGAGAAGAGAAGAGGAGGCGAGAGGAGAGGAGAAAAGAGAAAAGAAGAGGAGACGAGACGAGACGAGAGGAGACGAGAAAAAAACGAGAAGGGAAGAGAAGAGAAGAGAAGAGAAGACAAGAGAAGAGACGAGACGAGACGAGAAGAGAAGAGAAGAGAAGAGAGGAAAAGAGGAGAGGAGAGGAGAAGAGGAGAGGAGAAGAGGAGAGGAGAGGAGAGGAGAGAAGAGAAGAGACAGGATGAGAAAAACAAACACTTAAACCAAAAACAAAAAGCAGAGGATAGGAATGGAAAACAAGAAAAATCAAAATAACTTGGCTTCCATTCATTTGGCTTTTGTCTTGTCCTTCAAACGTGTGATATCGTTGAATCTTCCGCCGTTATGGGCAACATTTTGGCGCTCGAACTGGCCATTTTGCACGGTATTTGGCAAATAGGGTTCATGTAGGATTGGTTTTAAAGATAGTTTCGGAATAGATTTATATACATATATGTGTGTGTGTGAAAATACATAGGCAGAAAAAGGCATTTACCAGTGTGTAAGCTTGGACTTAAATAAAAAAGCGGGAGAGGGGGACCGGGGGGGAGGGCTGAAGAGTTGCAGTAGTGTCCTATACAGCGTCTTCCCTGGCTGCAAACATTACCAATTGCACCCATAGCCAGTCAATGCTGCGCCTAGGTCAAGCTATAATCCCTTCCTCCTAATACTAAACGTCCCCCTAATACTAAAAACAGGCATCCATCTCCAATTTCCGAAAATTTCAGTTTGGCCAATTTGACTTTTAATTGATCCCCTTTTAAAAACAATTTAAAAATCAACCTACCATTTGTGGGTTCTCCCCCCTAATACTAAAAACTAGTTCACCCCGGGGTGTTTAGTATTAGGGGGGCCTAGTCCCAATCCCTCACTCCAAGCTGCCTAGCTACTCTAGCAATTAGGGGTAAGCTTCTAACTGCCATTTTTGGCAATATTTTAATTGCGTTATATAAGGAAATTTAATTGATTTTGAGATCGTAAAAAATAGTTTTTAGTATTAAGGGTTTTAATTTAGTATTAGGGGTAAGCTTCGAACTGCCATTTTTGGCAATATTTTAATTGCGTTATATAAGGAAATTTAATTGATTTTAGGATCGGAAAAAATAGTTTTTAGTATTAAGGGTTTTAATTTAGTATTAGGGGTAAGCTTCGAACTGCCATTTTTGGCAATATTTTAATTGCGTTATATAAGGAAATTTAATTGATCTTGAGATCGGAAAAAATAGTTTTTAGTATTAAGGGTTTTAATTTAGTATTAGGGGTAAGCTTCGAACTGCCATTTTTGGCAATATTTTAATTGCGTTATATAAGGAAATTTAATTGATTTTGAGATCGGAAAAATAGTTTTTAGTATTAAGGGTTTTAATTTAGTATTAGGGGTAAGCTTCGAACTGCCATTTTTGGCAATATTTTAATTGCGTTATAAAAGGAAATTTAATTGATTTTGAGATCGGAAAAAATAGTTTTTAGTATTAAGGGTTTTAATTTAGTATTAGGGGTAAGCTTCGAACTGCCATTTTTGGCAATATTTTAATTGCGTTATATAAGGAAATTTAATTGATTTTGAGATCGGAAAAAATAGTTTTTAGTATTAAGGGTTTTTGTTTAGTATTAGGGGTAAGCTTCGAACTGCCATTTTTGGCAATATTTTAATTGCGTTACATAAGGAAATTTAATTAATTAATTAACATGACTTCGATTTGGTTCCCTAATAATAAATACCCCCCTAATACTAAAAACTACCTGCCGTGTTTTGTATTAGGGGGGGGGGGTTTAGTATTAGGAGGAAGGGATTACTATCCCTCTTGAGCCTTGACCAGCGTTTTTAAACTGTGCTCAGTACTCATGCATATGCCCTGGTAGGGATTGGTCCAAAACAAAAACACAGGCACAAATTCAAAAGCAATGAGTTGAGCACTACGCCTTGTCGTTGCCCATATTAGATTTCTAGTTTTTGACTGAACAACACGTTGACTAAATAGCAAAGAGCGCGCAGTGAAAAATGTGAAGAGTCCTAAGATTTCTCAACAATGGCACATTCCGTTCAAACCACCCACCCTCCCTGACACATGCAGATTTCACACAGTTGGCCGTCAAGGTTGGTCGCAAAGAGTTGGAAACATCCACAGTGCTATTGGCATGTGGCCAACACTCACTGCAGATTCTACCCTCATTGACCTCCTTGACTCATGCCTCTGTGTTCCCACCTGCCGTGCGCTATGAGGAGGAGGATGAATCGGATGTTGAGAATTCGGATGCATCGGGTCCCCTGTTTCGAAAGCAAACCTTGCACTAAGCCTTGCACTTTTTTCCTGATGGGACCCGATCAAACATGGAGTACGAGGTGAGACCCTTACCGAAATACCAGCCGCAGCGGGTGCGCCAGTCTCTGGGGTGGAAGTCGTCCCCTTGGGTCAAAATTTCGTGAATCCTGCCTCCCTTCGCTGTATTCGCAACAAACTTGCTTGTGCCTTTCAGGCACTGTTCAGCAGGGAGTGATTCAACTTCCATGTCTTGTGTGATGGGGATGATCCGTTTTGGGTCCGCCAGTTGACTGGGCTCCTGCGCTGCGGTCAGGGCTCGTAGCTCGTTCTTTGCCGCGGCAATTTAATTTGCTACTCCTGCTTTGGTGGATAAATTGCTAAGGCTGGCTAACGGGGAAGATCTCACGCATCGTAGGAAGGCTTGCTGTGGTTATTGTTGCGCCTTCAAGGGGGCTGCTCCACCACGTTCACAACAGGCGTCGCAGAGCCAGGAGGAACAGAACCACTGCTTGGCTCAGGTCCAGGTCCAGGTCCACAAATCTGGGCCATCAGCTGCGCTGCCAAGTTGGGATTGGCAACATCAGGTTGAGGAGGCGGCGCGGCCTCCTTCTTGTCAGGAGCGCCTGTCCCAACAAGCCACAGCAGCACCAGCAACGCACAGCGCAGCGACATGGTGCACAACACCGGTGGCGGGGAGGCGCGGAAAGACTTTGAACACTGAGAAACGGCTGTGGAAAAAAGCTGCAGTGAGTGAGCCATCTTGAAGCCAACGGTTCCGCTTGACAACCCTTGTTCAAACCATTGTTCTTTCAAACGCTTGTTCACCTTGACACCTGCTAGTCAAACCATTCTTGTTTGTGAAATTTAGTGCACGGCCGGTCTTACTTTCTAGACAGCAGGCTAGTTGCAGCTGGCAGACCTCGAAGTTTTTGCATCCGTGCGCACGGCTTCTCAGTAGGACCCGGCTATTCCAGTCCTGCAACGAGACTTGTCCTCAGCACAGAACGCTCAGTGGGCGACAGCCTCTTCCAATCCGGTGAACTGAAGCCTCACTTGTGGGAAGCTTTCGTCTGTGGGATCATTGCGGACAACAAGCAACTGTCGAGCTTTGGCAGCATTCAATTTTGGAATTGCGTCATTCAAGCCTTCTCGGTTCAAAAGTTGCCACTTACAATCCACCAACTGCAAGACCTCGGTCAATTGCAGACATTCAGCCCTGTGCGCCTGGACAAACGCAGGTGTCAGAAACAAGAGCCGCTTGGTCTTGATTGCAGGCTTGTACGCTACTGTGATACCATGGGCTCCTTTCGTTTCCACAAACAGCTTGTTGCCAAGCACACCTCCGACCAAACCAGCAAAAAGAAGGACAGGGGGAGTCACGTCTGTGGGATCTTTGCAGGCGAAAATTCTGCCTGCATGTATGTGACGTGCCACGACAACTTCAGGCGGCAAGTGCACAGCGGGGACATCATGGACATAGACCGGCAAGTTGTCCACCCAAGCAGCCTGGGCAAACTGGTTAGGAGGGGACCTAAAGCAAAGATTCGGGGTCATAGGTCGACGGGCTTCCTTCTATGTGGCTTTGCTTTGCACAAGCTTGTACTCATTGTTCCGCTCGCGTTGGGTCTTAGCAAGTTTGTCAGCGTAAGTCTCAGCCAAAGTCCTCATTTCATCTGTGATGTCAGATGCAGGCATCACGACAAGCAGCGGCTCTTCAATGACGGCCTTGCGTCTCTCCTCATCGCAAAATGCGATCTCAGCCATTTGCTTTTCACCAAATACTTGAGCAATCTGTTCTGCGGATGTGACTCTTTTTGGAAGGACCGAGCTGGCTGCACTGTCTGGGTTTGCAAACTCATCATTGACCATAGCGCAGCCCTGAAGAAAACCAGCTTCGCCATCTTTGAGCTTCTTCCTGCAAAACAGGAATCAACAAATGTCGGAAACTGAGAAAAACAAAAATGAATCGGTCCTGGGGATGTTTTTATCCCAACGTTGCACTCGCTTCGAAGAACCACTTGTGCGCACACGGCTGCAATGCTGAGACCAGAGCTTGGAAGCTGCAGAGATCAATTTCTGCTCCTCTGCTTCGGAGAAGGAAGAAGTCATTATGTCCTGTTGTAGTATCAGGAGCACCTCCTTGGAGTTGATGTTCTCATCTTGGGATTGGCCCAGCTGCTTCACGTTCTGAGCTACACTGAAGCCCAGCTCACAGCCTGAAGAGCTACAGCTCCAGCACCCCAGTCGTGCCAATGCAGGAATCAAGGCCTCTGCAGAGTGTGCCATGCGATTCTTCTGAGTGCACCGGATTGCTTTGCGCCACGCGTGGAAATTTTCCAGGCCTTCCACGTGGGCAAACTTGGAAGCAATCGGAAGAAAATGCTCAAACTCGTATTTCAATGCTGCACCATTGACACCAATGGCGTCAGCAAATTTTTGCAGGCAGTTGGCGCGCTCTCCATTCTCCAGCTGCTTTCTCAACCTGGAGGCATCCGAGAGAGCGAAAAAACTCGCAAAGAGGACACCAGTTGAAATTGAGGAAATTCACTTTCAAGCACTGACTCAGAAACGACCACATATGCAGACATGCGTTTGAGGCAGTTGCGGATAACATCCTCTGAGACAGCCTTTGCTCCTCCCAACTTCACTCGGACCCTGCAAGACATCAGCAACCGTGGCTCTGCAAGGTGCTGCAACATGACCTTGGCGAGGCCAACATGGACGCAGGCGCCTTCCACAAAAAGTTTGCGGATGACACTGCGGTAGCGCTCCAACTCATAAGGCAACTCCGACCCATCACAAATCTCTCTGAATCAAAGGCTCGCGCGAACCTGTGCAATTCCAAGGCTGCGTCGGCAAGCATGCCCAGGAGTAAGGCCTTCTCAGCGCTGAGGAACTGCAAAGATGCTAAGCACGCAGCTCCTTCAGTGGAAGTTCGGGCCAAAATGGAATCCCAGGTCAGGACCAGGCGTGCTAGCACCTTACTTTCTGAGGAATATCATCTCTGCGGCGCCCATGCTAGATCTCGGATGCTCTGGCTGATGACCACCTTCTCATCTGATTTTTTCTAAAGTCAGAGTAGAGATCTTTGATGTTGTGGCTGTTGGCCACCAGGCGAGCCACCGACTGCGGTTTTTCTACAAACTCGTCCGCAATCTCCTTGAGTTGTGGGTCAGCAGCCAATGGTCGGCTCAGCATCCTTTGCGCTGGGTGAGCTCTATCTTTGCCCAACACCTTCGAATTTTTGAACGCTTGACCCATGACATCCTGAAGTTGCATGATGTCAGGCCCGCTGATTCCTGCGAGGTCCCTCATGGCCCTCTGTTCATCAGCTGCAGCGTCCGCTGCCATACATTCGACCTTGTTCATCATGTCATTGCCTCCAGCATGGAGAAATCGCATTCTCTCACTACCTCCTTGACATCCTTCCTCAAACCAGGGTAGTTCGGAGGGGCAGAAGGAGTGCAGAAACTTTGCAAGGCCTTCAATGTCATTTCCCTGATGCCTTGAGCTCCAGGATTGTCCGGTGAAGAACTGGCTTTGATCAGTTGCAAGGTGCCCTCGCAAACTTCCAAATCGGGGTTCCTGAATCTGACGAGGAACCGCCTTCCACGCTGGTCTTGCGCAAGGCTAATGCACAAGGCCTCTCTGGCCCTCTGCCTTTGCACTTGCCGGTGGCATTCTGCCAAGCACCATCGCATCATCGCAACTTTCTTTCTGTTCCCGACATCTGCCACATCAGCAACGCAGCAGCCAGGCTTTGAGTCCTGCAAGACTGATTTCCACTCAGCACTGAGGGGCGCAAAGCCCCCAACATCATCCATTGCTGGAGCCTTTCCACCAACCATGCTTTTAGCTGCGCGGAGTCTGCATGCTTTCACAAGCGGGTCAAACGAATCTCTCCACTTTGGACTTGATACCTGGCAGAATGATGCCTGGACACTGGGAACTTGGACACGACTTCTGGACTAACTTGCTGGGCATCTTTGCAAAGCCGGCAACCTATTCTCGAAGATGTGGTCTCCATATCCATTCGGGCATCCAGCCATGGCAAGTCTTCCTGCCATTTGTCCTTATACTTGGCCCACTTGCAGCGAGCGCATTGACCTTCGCCGAAAGAACACGCTGTCACATGGGCTTCATCATCAAAACCTTCTACTGAAAAATCTGGCGTCTTTGGTCGGAGTCACGGATCTCTACCGCGCTGAAATTGAGCCCCCCCAAAAAAGAAGTCTTGCAAGCCGGAGCGACATGAAGCAAAACACAGCCCTAGCAGAAAGTCGCCACCCCCACTTGGGTTCGGCTCGGCTCTACTAGGAAAAAAATATGCCCGCATCTTTAAATCCTTTTGAACACGCGCGCTATGACCCCCAATGCGCGCGTGTTGACCGTTGAAACACGAATGGCGCTCAGCCAAAGATTCCTTGATGTTGTCTCAAGGTTTGCTTTCCAAATATTTTGGAAAATCACGTCTTCTTCAGAGTCCGTCTCTGTGAAGTAGGCGCCTCGACGTGCGAGCTCCTTCCGGAGTTTCTTCGCCAATTTGTGAGCCAGCTCCGACGTCTTAGTCAGGGCGACAATCAGAATCAAGCAACTCTGCAATCTGGACGGTATATATGTGTAAAAAGAGAAAACAAGTATCAAACTGAATTTGAATCTCTTGCCAAGGCGCTCACTTCAGCATCAGGTAGTCATATTTGTCGATCAGCCAATTTGCGGACATCTTGCGAAGGAGTCGCTCTTGAACTTGCTGAGAGGTGAAAGCACCGGCCTCGCTGATGCCACTGGCCCTGCATGGCTACCCATCATGGTGTTGGGTCCGTCGGCCGGTGCGCCCTGAGACCTCCTACCATTGAACACCGAGGGCTGCAATTGAAATGAAACATATTCTGCAAGTACAAAACTCAAGCCTCCTTGCTTGCCACATTAAAAAAAAACAATAGGAGACTGGCGCTTCAAAAATGAGAAAAATATTGGAGGTAAAAGCCAACATTTTTTTCCTGCGAATCGACACCGGCATCCACGGCCATGGGTTGCTGAGATTGGATTGGATGACGGATGTCCTGGCGTGGGCTCCTCCAAGCTTGTCCCTGATTTGCGCGCAAAATATTGGCGCGCAGCTGAGTGACTACTCAGGAGGCCCTTATATGGCGCTCTCCTTGGCACGGTCTTGAGCCTGAGGAGGCTTCTTTAGTAACCTCCTTGGGGGAAGTCTGCGTGACTTACTTTGGAACATGTTCTCTTGCAAACAAAATGAGAGACCAAGGAAACTTAAACTTTGAACAGACGTGTTCAACACAGTTCCCAATGTGGACACTCAAATTTGAATTTCCAAGCTGCTAGTCTTGGTCTTGGTTTTTTTGGCGCATATCGCACTAAAAGTGTGTTGTCTGAAGATAACAGGTTTTGCCCTTATATAGTTAGCCATGAAAGGAAAACTATATATGATGAGATGTATATTGTTGCTGAAACTTCTCTTCACTGTGTCATTGCAATCACAATAATGGAATTACATAAAACCAATGATGGATCTTATATTCTCTTATGAAGACGACAATAGGCGCAGAGGACCCTAATACTTCAACCCCAGTATGTGCCCAGTGACTTATTCTGAAGCTATGGTTCTGGCGACGGGAGTCGCAGGTTCGGCAACTGCGGTGCATCTGCCTCTCGACCTGGCTCGGTCACCTGTCGTGCTCACGGCGGGGCTCAAAAACCTTGCAACACTGCCTCTAGCAGATGTAGTATGGGTTGGGGAACTAGCCGATGTACAGTTGGTGCTCCAGATCGCGCCGCTGTAGCAGCCTATTCCTCCACTTCAATCTCAACCTCTGCCTCTTCTTCCTCGGCCTCTGCAGGAGCTTCGGGCTCAGAATCTTCGGCTTCTGCTTCGAGATCTAATTCCTCTGCGGGAGCAACAAGTTCCTCTGGGAGAGGAGTGCTAGTGGCTTCTGGTTTGTCCTCAACTTCCGCTGGAGTTGTTGACCGGAAAAGCAAGGTTAGGATCTGTAGGTGGAGTGATGGGGATTGTACGGCGTCTGTTGGTATAGGATGCCTTCCTAGAAGATCCAACAGTTGTTGCGGACGCAAAGGTTTTGCGTTTTGTCGCAGGCGGTCGAGGTGACAGCACAACCTGGCGGCTGCCTGGTGGAGCACTGTCTGCACGAGGCCTATGTGTTGTGATCCGACCTGCTGGCTCTGAGATTGGAAGAACAACAATACGTCCTGAGCTAACTCATGTAGTGTTCTGCCCTGCAAAATTCGGATTACGCCAAATGGAGTCAGGCAATTTGTGGCGCAGCGGGTGCTGCTTCGCCCGGCACTACAGCTGGCAGAGCACGAGGTCTCCTTGTGCTCGGATCAGCTTCTGGTGGGCCTGCAACCCCCGCCCAAATTCCTTCCTGATTCACAACAAGGATAAGGTAATTAGGGTCAGCGGGTCTAAGGACTACTGGTCGGGATTCTAAGTTGGGAGGAAAATTCTTAATGTTCCACCACGCGCACGTCTTAATAAATCCGGGTCAGGATCTGCAAAGGTTCCGTCAGCACGGGGTGATGACTCTTGCAAAACTCTGGACCGAGATCTACTTGGAGGTGCAAGGTGTAGCTTGAGGCGCAGGTTTGTCAGCAGCCTCTTCCGCTCTGAATCTATTCGCAATTGGATTCGCCACGAGCTTGCCTATCTAATTCCGCACGGGTTGGTGAGGAATGTGCAGGTGGTGGTGGAATTGCCAATAGCGGGGAGGCAGGTGGTCAGGTTTCTTAAGGCCTTTGGCCTCAGATTTCGCTTTCTCTTTAAGAGTAGTGTCAATGGTGTCATCTGGATCTGGGGATGATGAATCGTCTGGGTCCCTGCCTAGCTGGCTCTCCCTTGCAGTCGACGGGTCTGTGGCCTGCTGGAAAACTGATCCCTTAGTTAGGTTGATGCTGCTGTGGGCCTCTATAAATATCATAGGGGTCCCAAGTTGTCCTAGGTGGTCTGAAACACCGCAAAAGCCTGTAGGTTGATCACGATCAGGAAGAGCAGTGTTTTGTTGGATCCGTCTAGCAGCAGCAATGCCTTCGTGTTTCCGATACCCGCTCTGGTATGACCAATTGGCGCAGGGTGGAAAAACGTTGGCAATTTGAACGAGTCGGAAAAACAATTTCTCAGGAGTACACGAAAAATTGTAAGGGTCCAGATAGATTCGGAGTTACTATCTTCGTATTGTCGGTAATGTGTCCAAAATTCGCCCGATTCTCGGCACAACCAATCTGCGAAGAAATCGAAATCCTTCTGCCAGCGTTTGATTGACCTACTGGTCTGCTTGGCCTTACCACCCTTACCACCCTTAGCCCCTCTAGTCCTAATGCAAGGTCGCTGTGAAGGCGCAGCGGTGGCAATCGGAGATGTCGCCGGAGGACTTGGCTCGTCCGGATCGACGGCTAAGTGTTGCACAAAAATGGGATTGCACGAACTACCTCAGCGATCTCAGTGTCAGTGACGATACGGCTTGAAGTAGCAGGTGCCTCTTCCTCTGCAATCTCAGCTGGATCGGCCCAAGCGGCTTGTTCCTCCTTGGATTCAAGTAGGTTACAGGTTAGGATCGGCCTCAGGAGCTTCTACTTCGGGATAAACTGTTTCGGCTAAATTGGGTCCCTCTAAAGAAGCTTCCCCACCTGGAGTCTCCTGAATTTCGGCTGCAGGGCCTGACGAAAGTTCTCGAAAGATGTCGTCGACCGTCACATGTGTCTCCGGCTCTTCCACTTTGACAAGGTCGACAGTGCGTTGAACCTTTGATCGTCTTCAGGAACGTCCGCTGAGGCTCCAAAGGCAGCTTCTCCCGCAGCAGATTCTTCAAGAGTTGTTGGACACCTAAGTCCAGAAGATCCTCACGTGCAGCCCCTTCACCAGACAGCTCAGGCGCTTCTTCAGAGATGTCTGCCCAAGTGACCCCGGTACCGCCTTCGACGGTCGATCCGCGCCTTCGGCCGCAGCTTCCCTGTCTCCGGACTCCCTTCGCCAGTTGGTTCCGGAGCGCTAGAAGCAGCTCCTTCCTGCAGACCCTCTGGGGCCATACGAAGTCAAACACAGAGACAAGATCAGCGGTTAAAGCGAAGGGCCTAAGTTACCTGTTGAGGAGTTCGCAAGACTTTCCCAGCAAAAACCAAAGAACAATTGCGGCTGATAACCAGAGAGAAGAGGGGACCAACAGGGGAAACCACAAATTGAACTCCTCAGTATCAAAAATCAGACTGCCGCCCCTTTTGCAGGTGCGACTTGAGCCAAACGTCACAAAGGCTACTATCTTCACCCGACCCGGCTGGAGGGGGAAGAATTCCTAAATTACACTATGACTACAACCCCGACAGGTCAACGCTTCTAAACCCTGGGGATATTCATGGTGTTCAGTAACAGTACAACTGCTTCTGCGGTTGGTCTTTAATAGCTACTTCAGATGCCACATGGATGAACTATCATAGCTATATACATGCTATACATGCGGGGGGCTCTGGGGCCGTAATATTTCAACTAGTGAAGGCTTATTGAGGGTTTGTTTAGGGTTTACTTAAGGTTGTTTTAGTTTGTTTGGGGGTTGGTTGGCGGTTTATTCAGCGTTGATTTAGGGTTGCTTTAAGGAGTACTTACATAGTGGTTCTTAGAGTTTATCTGTGAGAAACAAAAAACCGGTAAAAGCAGGGAAGCAGAGAAGCTAGAAAAGCGCAAAAACGGAGAAGCGGAGAAGCAAAGAAGCAGAAAAGCAGGGAAAGCCAACAAGAAGAAAAGCAGGAAAGCAAAGAAGCAGGGAAAAGCAGAAAAGCGAAGAAGCAGAGAAGCAGGGAA